CCTGGACACGGCGGGGTCCGACACGGCACCGCAGCACCACGGCGCGCCGCGGCCCAAACGCCACACGCCACAGCGCCGCGCGCGCCGATATTTTTATGACATTGCATAAATATTGTTTATCGGCGTTGCGCCGCGGGCCGCAACGTGATGAGGCCTCGAGGCGTTTGGTGTGAGAAAGGGATGCGAATGAGAGCGGCGGCCGGCGGGCGTGGGTTCGCGTCCCGGCGGCGGCGCCTCTTTTTTTCCTGGAGGCGCCACGTCGAGGAGGCGCTCCGCCGCGTCGATCCGTGATTTACAGCTAGGCCTCGCCGGCCTCGCCCTGTCGAGCGATTCAAGAGTCATCTCTCTTTCTCTGTCGCACTCGTGGGGCTGCCCGTAAGGATGCGAGAGAGACAGAGCGACAGACGGCTGGCTCTCGCAACGTGGAGTGGCGTGCTCGTCCAGCTCGTCCGCGCGCGCGTCGGCGTGGTCGGCCCGGGCGTCGGGCCCACCCACGCAGACCCGTCGGCGCCGCGTGGCAGTGCCGGCAGTGCAGTGCCCCATGCACTTGCCCGGACTCTCGGCGGTGCACTGGGGTGCACTGGGGTGCACTGGGTGCATGCCGCACAGCATGCAAATTGGTACTTTACGGCGTTCCCCGATCGCTTGTCATGCTGTTTATTAGGTCGATCGTACATTGTATCGATGTGAGGCAAGGCGAGGCAAGGCGAGGCAAGGCGAGGCAAGGCGAGGCCTAGGCGAGGCGAGGCAGGGAGGCGGGGTGATTTACGTGCTCGTCGTGCCCGCGGAGCACCGCGCCGCACCGCGCCGCGGCCCTTATCAGCCCCACTGTCAATCAGGGAGCAGTCGCCCTGTCTCTCTCGCACTCGCGGGGCGTCCCGTGTGGGTGCGAGAGAGACAGGGCGACGGAATGAGTCCGCCGGGCCGGCGGCCTGGATGCCTGGATGTGCACGCTGCACTCCTGTTGCTTCACCCGGTCCTGGAGACGCGGCCCGGCCGGCCCGTTCGAGCGCCACGTCCTGGTTGCGCGTCCCCGTTTGCCGGCGATTATTGATGCACGCGGCGCGGGTTCGAATCGCCTCGCCGCGAGGCGGCTCGCTTTTTATCCCCCGGTCTCTACCTGTCTCTCTCGCTCCCGCGTGCTCGCCGGTCCTCGCCTATTTCTCTCTTTTTTTTCGGTGTGCGCGGCGGGCACTGGCCGCGGTCCGCAGTGCCCGCCCTTCCCGACGGTGGGCCGACGGGGCCGACGCCGCGCTGTGACTGGACGCCGCGGCCCGGCCGCCTTGTCTGTGTGTCGACCGCGCAGGCATTACTTTCGCATTACGCCCCTGTGTGACACAGCATCTTTGCCGTCATACGGAGAGGCTGGCGCGCTGGCCGGGCCGGGCCGCTGCCATGCCGCCCTGGCCCTGGCCGGCCAGCCGGCCGTAGTCACGATTTTCGCAATTGCGTTGCAAAGTGCTTGCCCGCTCCGAGTCCTGTGCCTGTTACCCCCTCCCCCGCCTTCCACTTCTGTCCCTACCGGTGTGAGAACCAAACCAAGCGCCGTGCCCGGCCATGCCAGCGAAATGCATGCCCCCCCCCCCCCCCGCCGGGAGTCTGCAGGCCGGGGCCTAACTGTGAGGCGGCCCGTCGATCGCCGCTGTCGATAACTCGCCGTCAGTCAGCTGTCTGTCTCTCTCGCACCCTGGCGGAGAGCCCCATGAGTGCGACGGAGACAGCGCGACGAACAGGTCGTTCGTCTACATACGCCCCCCAAAGTGGCCGCGCTGCCGCACTGCGCTCGTCCCGGAGGAAAGGGCCTCGATTTTGGCATTTTTGCGTCGTGATTAGAGAACCGCGTGCGGGCGCGGGCGCGGGGCGCGCGGCGTGGCGCGGCGGCGCCGTCGCTGCTGCCGGCTGGCCGGGCCGTGCTGGCGGCGGGCCTGCCAGCATGCCAGCACGCCAGCGCCCTCTGTGAGCGAGCGCCGGCACTGCCTCGGCCCGCGGCTCGGCCCCGCCCCACGCCCGTCCGCGTGTCCGTGTCCTTCCCCCGCTGTTTTACTTTCCGCGGTTCTTTTCGCGAGGGGCGAGCCCGGCGAGCCGAGCCGGCCGAAGCTGTCGGAGCTGGCGAAGCGAAGGCAAAGGCTCCTTCCCTCCGCCAGGCAGCCAGTCCCGGCCCGGAGTCTCGGAGTCGCGCGGCGGACGCCGCCTGGCCGCGTCGTCTGCTCGTTGCTCGCTGCTCGCTGCTCCGACCGGACCGCGGCACCGCGGCCACGACGCGGCGAGCGTGGCGAATCTGCAGGGTGCAGTGACGCGCCAAGGCAGTTTCTTCTCGCTCATGGTTTATTCTTCGGGATACTCGTCATACGCGAAACGACGAAGATGAAACCCCCTGACCGCGAAGTCTGACGCCCAGCCCCGGTTTTTCCGCAAGTTCCCGCCACGCTCGCTCAAGGTTCAGTGTTTTCTGCCCCCCTTAACTGCCGCGCCCGTAGCATTGAGTATTAAGCTCTCTGAAGCACTTCGCCGCGACGGGCTCAAACTCTCACCCTTTTGCAACAATTTCGACCACCCGCATGCACGGGCGCTGCACGAGCCCTATAATCTATTGACCCGGACCCGACCGCTCCCGCCACCTCGCTAGTTACAGTGCCTCGCCTACCTGGCCGATGCCGCCGAGGTGTATTACCGCGCCGAGCACCCCGCCGCACCCCGCCTCACCCCGCCTCACCCCGCCACGCCGCGCCGCGCCCTATCGCTCAAATGTAATTGGGGAGCCAAACAGGGATCGCTTTGATGTATGACGGATGGACCGGCAAGGTGCGGGGAACGGGGAGGGGGGAGGCGGTGGCGTGTTGTCAGGGTCGGGTTTGCCGTTTTTTACCGGGGGAGCGGGGAGGAGGGGACGGTGTGGGGAGGCAGGCAGAAAGAACGCCGTATAAAGGAAAAGAGGAAACATGGAGAGAGACACAAGAACGTGCACTCACTCACTCGGTTGGGAAATGTACGAGGAAAAATAATTAATTTGAGTGTCGCTGCCGCTTCGGGTGTGGGGGTGCGGGAGTGTGGAGGGCGCGAGTCGATGTAACGTTGTGCGTAGGCAGCGCAATGCGCCAACCAGCAGACTGTCTCTATCGCACTCGTGGGCGCCCCCTGTAGGTGCGAGAGAGACAGAGCCACTCTCGGAATCAGTCTGCTGCGTGGTCACTCAGCGTGCGTGGAAACGCGTGGAAATAATGCGTGCGCGATGTCGTTAGCGAGTGGCGGCTGAAATCGCCAAAGGGTTGCGCGGCGAGGCGCGTGCCCGCCCCGCCCCGCCCCGCCCCGCCCTCGCGACGCGCCGATCAAACCGTCATTAAACGGTGCGTAGATTTGCGTGCCACCTCGGCTGGAAAACACGGCGGCGGCGCCACGGCGCAGAAGAATCCATTTGTGCTCCACGCGTCCGCCTTGCGCCACCGCCACCGCCAACGCGTTCACCCCGCCCCGCCCCGCGACATGTAATGCGTGAGGGGGTGGATGGCGGAGCGCGGCGCGCAACGCGGTGTCGGGCTGCTGCAGCGGAGCGGGGCGGGGCGTGGCGGGGCGCGGCGGCGCTGACCCAGTTGTCAAGTCATGTTGCATTACCTGATCTGCCGCCACCGCCCGCCGCTGCCTTATGACAAACTCGATTGGATTTCTTACGAACCGCTTGCCGTGCCGTTGTCGTGCGCGCGCTCTCGCCGTGTCTAGAAGTCGAGCCCCCCGTCCCCCTCCCCCCTCCACGACACGCCCGAAGAAAATGTCGTAGCCGTCGGCTGCAAAAGTATCGCGGGCCCCGCCGCGGGGCGTGCAGTGCGACGCGGTGGCGGCGGTTCGCCTTCCTTTCCGGCCGGTTTCTCCTCTGTTTGTCCTTGCGCTGTCGATGTGGCCGTGATGATGGTGGTGCAGTTTGAGGAGTGGCGCGCTGGCGCGGCGTGTGTCGCTGATCGCCCAAGGAGTATAGAATGGAAATTATCGCTCGTAAAAGCGGCAGGGGCGGTTAAGGCGGCTGGGTTCGGCCGCGGCTTACATTGTGTTGCCGCACGGGAAAGGGGGAGGGGGCGGAAGCCTTAACCTGCACCTTACTTTACTCATTTGTGGCCAACGAGTCCGGCAGCCTGTCCGCCGCTTCGTCCACGCATGTGTGGGTCCCGTGTGTGCGTGCGTGTGTGTGTGTGTGTGTGTGTGTGTGTGTGTGTGTGTGTGTGTGTGTGTGTGTGTGTTCGCGCGTATTGTCTGCGAGCCCTCACCTGCCCGCCGTGCCGGGGGCCGGGCCAGGGTCTTCTGGAACAGCGGCGCGGCTGAGTCGAGTCGAAGTGGAGGCGAGACCTTGTCTGGAACAGGCCAAGCCTCAAGCCTTCGCCTTCGCCGCTGTCAATGTCATCGGCAAATACTAGGAATGGACCGCGGCCGTCCGAGCGTGCGGCCTGCGCGGCACTAAAACGGGATAATGGTTGCGTTTCGCTGCGATCCGCCGCGTGGCGTGCCTTGCGCACCTTGCGATGATGGCTGTGAAATGTAACGTAAGACGTGCTTTATTTGTCTGGCCTCGGCGACGCGGGCCGAGCCTGGCCGAGCCTGCCGGGCACCGCGTTGTTGCAGCCGTGGTGGCGAAACGGTGCGAAACGGTATGGGACGGGAGGGAAGTCCTCCACGGCGCCCTTTGTTGGCAGAAACAAGTGACGACGCGGTGCCCGGCTGCTGGCCGCTGCTGGCTTCGGCAAGGCGGTGAGACGGCTGATCACACACGGGCTCCCTCCCGCTGCTGCCGCTCACGCCGGCCGGGCATTGTTAGTGTTGGTCTGTTAGTCCATCGACAAGCGCGCCAGCGTCATGGCAGCTTGCGGCGGCATTGGCGACGGTCTTGCGACGCGTGCGTCCTCTGGAAGTGTGTTTCGGCCTTCGGCTGTCCGACGGACTGTTCACTGACCACCCCCTTTGCTTGTCTGTTGCAGCTAGCGTGAACGAGCGCGGGCCCTGCGGCGTGGGCGCGGGCGTGGGCGCGGGCCCCGACGGCGACATGGCCGGCTCGCCGCACTACAGCCTCCGCTGGAACAACCACCAGACCCACATCCTGCACGCGTTCGACACGCTGCTGCAGAGCGAGGCGCTGGTGGACGTGACCCTCGTGTGCGAGGACACTCGGCGCGTCCGGGCGCACAAGGTGGTGCTGTCGGCATGCAGGTGAGTCGGCCAGGCTTGGCGGCTTGGCCAGGCCGCGCGAGTTTTACGGCGCGCCGCTTTTTTCCCTTTCGGCCTCGCAGGCTTCGCGCTGTGCGCTCCGGGCGCTCCGCGCGTGCACGTGTAGACCCACTCCACTGGCCGATGCCTCCCCGGCCCGGCAGTCTCGCAGTCTCGTCTCGAGGCGTCGAGGGCACTCTTGTTCCGTCAACAGATACCTCTGTAATCACCACGCCATAAATCATGAGTTTACCTGTAAAATGTGTGTGTATTAACAACGGGAAGGCGTTCGCTTGAGTGCGCGGCGCGGAGCGCTGAGCGTTGCGACGACGGAGGCAACGAGAATGTACACTGGTCTGGAGCATGACGCATGCATAAGGCATAGGCCGCCTAGGCCGGCCGCCACTTTTACTACCGCCATTACTGAACATGTAAAAGATAATCGGCCATCCGGACGTACCCGGAGGTACCCGGAGGTACCCCCACACCGGCCTGGTGGACGTGGCCGTCGTGGCCGTCGTGGACGGGCGAGTGAAGGGCGCGTTTCTCGTCTCTAATGCTCGTTGTGTGCGTGTTGCAGCCCCTTCTTCGAGAAGATCTTCGCCGAGACGCCGTGCAAGCACCCCGTCATCGTCCTCAAGGACATCCGGTCGTGGGAGCTGCAGGGCATCGTGGACTTCATGTACAAGGGCGAGATCTCGGTGGTGGAGGAGCAGCTCTCGTCGCTCATCAAGGCGGCCGAGTCGCTGCAGGTGCGCGGGCTGAGCCACCACGACCAGATGCCGGCGCAGGCGCGCGGCCACGGCCACGGCGACCGGCACGGCGACCGCCACTCCGGCATGTCCGGCCGGCAGTCGCCGCCCCAGGTGTGCCTGGAGAAGTTCCCGCACTACCCCGGTGCCTACCACAAGGACGACGCCATGAGCCCGCACAACGGGCCCGGCGCGTCGTCGCCGTACTCCCCCTCGCCGTCGGACAGGGACCTGCGGCTGTCGTCGCCGCTCCGGCTGCCCACCATCCCCCACATCTCCTTCTCCGACAACCCTCCCACGCCGTCGGGCGACCACTTCTGCTCGTCGCCGCTGCCCAGGAGAAAGCAGGTAAGGCGGCGGCCCGCGCTGGCCGACGAGCTGGCCGACGAGCTGCGCCGCGCGCGCAGCCTGGCCACGTCGCCGTGGTCCTTGACGCCCTGCTCCTTCACGCCGTGGTTGTTCTCGCAGGCGAGGCCGCGCAGGAGGTCAGGGGAACAGAGCGGCGAAGGTCGCGAGGGCCGCGGCGCGCTCGGCATGGGCGCCATGGGCGGCATGCTGCCTGGCAGCCTGGCCGGCAGTCTGGCCGGCAGCCTGCCCCAGGACCTGAGCAAAGCCACCTCCTCGCCCACCGCGGAGCGCCCCGAGCGCCCCGACCGGATGGAGCGCCTGGAGCGCCTGGACATGGCCGAGAACCTATCGACCAAGAGGAGCCGGCCTTCCAGTGTGGGCCTCCCCGGCGAGCGGGGCGAGCGTAGCGGCCACTCGTCCAGACAGACCACCCCCGCACCGCCCACCACGCCCAACGCAGTGAGTAGTGACCCTTGCAGTGCAGTGGCCTGGTATGGCTGCTTCCGATCTCTAACCGCGTGGTCTTCCGATTCGCAGATGCCTCCGAGTCTAAAGCACGAGAGCGAAGAATCTCAGTCCGCCGACTGCCTCGACATGTCGAACCCGGAGAGGCGAGACTTCCCCAACCACGTACCAGACCACCCGCACCCCGGCCTCCTTGGACTCCGACCAGTGAGTGGGGAGCGTCTTGTAAAGAACCGCCGAACCGTTGAAACTCTATATGACGTGGTGCTAACGCAATGTTTTGCTCGTCCAGGATTCATCGCTAGACAACCCCGGCTTCCCTACTATGCCTTCACTCTCGGCCTTGGCACTGACAACTCCTCAGCACGGTAAGTTATTGGCCCTGTACTTCGCGTAGCGCTAGTCTGGCTTGGAACAGTGGTGCCGTCTGGGCGTTTGCCTGCGGAGCAGGCAGCCCCGCGCAGCCTCACCCCGCCGGGGTGGTCGCCTGCCAAGCAGGCAATGCCAAGCAGGCAATGCCAAGCAGGCAATGCCAACCAGGCAATGCCAACCAGGCAACCTCTCGTACACCTGTCTCCGGCGGGGCGGTAGTCACCTGTGGCAATGATTGCTATCAGTGGTCGAAGTGAAGTTAATTTCGGGTGGCGGCCGACGAGGTTGCGGTACTAAGCGCTCCGTTTTGCGTCTTGTGTGTTGCAGTCTTCCCTCTGGACTCTCAGCTCGGTGAGTCTATCTTCTAGGCCAGGGTTGCGTCGTAGCTTCTCGACGGCCTGTAGAGGCTCGGCGCGTGCACAGAGCGTAGGGGCGGATCCAGAGACGGGTGCAGGGAGGGAGGGGGTGTCGCAAAGTGTGCCTACCTACAGGGGTGCTATTTTTTGTCGTTTTTTGGGGGGGGACGCTTTTATTGCCCTCCCTGGATCCACGCCTACAGCGCGTGTCGTCCCGGACGACGCGACGACGCCCAGGTGGCTTGCTGACGAGGTGCTTCTCCTGTTGCAGGCTTGTTCCCCGGCATGGAGGCGTGCCGAAACCCGCTGCTGAACGACCTGCCCGAGTCCCGCAACGAAAACCACCACCTCCCCAACCCCAACCCCAACGCCGGCCCCGTCTCCGGCTCGGGCCCGACCACTAGCGGCAAGCGGAGCAAGAGCAAGTGGCAGGACGGTAAGTCAGGTCTGCATCCGAAACCATTTTTCCTCTCTGCGTTGCTGGCTTTGCTCTCGGTTTGCGTGGTGACTGACGGTGGATGTGTACACTGCGCAGGTCGACCCAAGGGCCAGCACTCTGCGCCGCGCGGAGGCCCGCCCCGTTCGTGGACCAACGCGGAGCTCACTGAGGCCCTGCAGCACGTGTGGAACAAGAAGATGACGACGTCGCAGGCGTCGCGCATCTTCGGCATCCCCTACAACTCACTGCTCATGTACGTGCGCGGCAAGTACGGCAAGTCGCTCAAGCTGGAGCAGCTGCGCAAGGACTGCCAGGGCGGGCCGATGGGGCCGCTCGAGCTGCTGGGACTGCCGCCGCTTGGCCACAACAACAACCAGATCACCACCAAGGAGCAGCACATGGAGCGCATCGACAGGCTGGACCGCGACATGGACCGCGACGTGCCCGCCATGCCCGAGTCCGATCTCATCATGGGGCCCAACTTCAGCCCCTACTCGGCCGGCAACTTCTACCCGGACTTCAGCTCGTTCCCCATGCCCGTCAGCATGGTGCACTTGCTGCCGCAGTCCGACAAGAACCGCCTGAACCAGGCCGGCGCGGGCCAGCTGCCCCTGGCGCTGGACTTCGCCAGCTTCCGGGGGAAGGACGACCTGGAGCACGACGAGAGGGAGCGGGACCGGGAGAGCGAGCGGGACCGCAAGCGGGAGCGCAAGGCGGCGCAGGCGCACCAGGTCATCCTGCGGGAGCGCGAGCGCGAGCTGCAGCAGCAGCAGCGGGAGATGCTGCAGCAGCGGCGGGAGCAGCAGGACCGCGAGATGATGCGGGAGCGGGAACGAGAGCGGGACCAGCGGGACCAACGCGACCAACGCGACCAGCGGGAACGAGAGCGGGACCCGCCGTCCTCGCCGCGGTCCTCGCAGTCCACGCCGCAGCCGCCCGTGGCCCCCGCCACGCCGCCCTCGCCCACGCAGGAGAACAACAACACCAACACCGACAAGCTGATGAAGACCCAGGACCTGATGGCCTTCCGCGCCTGCGGGGTGGCCAGCCCCAAGGACTTCCCCAAGGACGACCCCATCCCCGTGTCCGCCATGACCCCCGTGCCCACGCCGCCCCTGGCGATGCTGCCCGCCCAGCCGGAGCTGGTCGAGTTCAACGGCCAGGAATAGAATTGTGGGCAGGATAAGAAGTATGCCAAGAAGCAGCAGCAGCCACCGCCAGTGTCAGGGGAAGACCTAGACAGACTCAGCAAGTTCGTCCCCGTCTTGATCTACTAGCATATCAGTAGTTTTTCTTAACTCTCCCCCAGTTATGTAGCGTAGACGTTTCCACTGCAGCTACAGCTTGTGTTGTCCCGTGTCCCACCTGAGCCGGCCGCCTATCCTTGTGACTGGGATAGAAACACGAAAACTGCTTGCTTCGTACTTACTTATCCTGCACACGATTTAACCACTTTCGGTTTTTGGGCCGGGTCTTATGCAGGGTGCAAACGCGAACGCAAAAGAAGAGGAGGACGTGGCGCGCCACGCGTTACAATGTGTATACTAAAACTAAAGAGAAACGCTGCCACTTGTGCCCATGGCTTGTTCTCTTGTGATTCTAAGTCAGTGCTGACCTCTTCATAACCATGGTGCACCAGGACATTACTGTGACACTGTTACTTTCATTCTTTCTTTTTAATTTACCATGACTATCAAAGTGTGCAAGTGATGAACTTGTAGTCCATTTTGTGCTAGGATTATTCACGAACTATGCCAGTGATAGGACAGCTGTGTGGATGTGGTGTGACTACATTCCTGTTTTCGGTGATGTGTGGGTAGAAACCAAAAATAAATGCATGCATGGACATCATGCTAGTATATGGTGTTAAGTGAGAACTCGAATGCTGAGTGTAAACCATGATGGATGTAATTCTGCGTTATTGTATAATTTGTTTGTGTTACTGTTAAACGTCACATTATATTTTAAGTGCAGACCCATCATTGGTCTTTTTACACAGCTCGATATACTCACTTACATTTTCTATCAATGCATCTTAAATTAAATTATTATATGTGATACATCATTGTTTTTCTTATATTTATTTCCTTTAAAATATTGTCAGTTAACGAAGTGGTGATCTGCATTTTGCATTCTTCTGCAAATTATCTGTTTTAGTTATAGTTCATGATTTTTTGGAAGCACTGGTTTCAAACTGAGTAGTACAGATTCAATATACTTCTAAAGAAAATAGATTGTTGAAATCCCTGCAAGCAAAGCAATCCCTGTGAAAGTTTGTATTAGTTACATTGCCTATTTACTATATCTTAAGAGTTACATTCTGTAAGAGTCGATATAGTACCTGTGCTTCCCTTGAGAATATTGCAGTACATACCGAATGATGAGTTGGGGCTTGTTATGTTTTAGTGCTTGCTGCTAGCCGTCACTGTGCTGCTCATCGGATGCTTGAGCAGTTTTACATTTGCCAATGATCTATAGAGAAGACTGACTTCATTCTTGTTTCAATTGAAGAAATATATTTCTTCATCACCACTTATATTTATAACAATTAACTACTACAGTTCCTGCAGAGATTTTATACCAAATATTGCATTTTCATGCATAAGGTTTGTGTTACAATAGTTGTAAGAATTTAACCATATTTTTATCCATATTATACAGATGACATTTGTTTTGTTATTCATCCATCTATGGGACAGTATACACTTTGTACATCAATTTTCAGAACTTTCAATAGTTGAATGAATGTTGCAGAAAAAGTTTTTCCCCCTCAGAATCACCTGACAGATCTATTGTGGGTGAAAATGTGATCTTTATTAATATTTTAATTGGTTACGTGCAGAAATATTTCTGTGTTGTTGGATTGTAGCGATAGGGCCCAAGGACATCTCTTTAACTAATATATTTTGTAAATATTGTTTATATAGTAACCTTGCCATGTGGAACGAAAGTAGTGAAATTATCTTAAATTATAGGCAGTGTCTGGTTCTCAGTTTCTTTTGATGTATTCACTACTATTGATCTATTGTTCATCATATGTAGTGCTCGCTCTATCCTTTTGATGTAATTACATTAGAGACATGAAAAAATGATTTTAATTGATATTGTTGTGATGTATTGGACATTCAAAATCCCCGATAATGGATAATATCATCATAAAGTTAATTTGGGAAAGCAAATGTGCTTTCGGCTCTTGTTATGTAAAAATTCTTACAATTATGTGGAGCACAAAGCTCCATTTTAAGATAATTAATCCCTTATCATCCTTGCTATTATATAATTATTGTTACTACTAGCACTCATGTCATGTCTAATTTAATAATGTATTTCATTGAGAGCATCATGTTCATGAACAAATTCTTCTTTTCGCGCGAGTGTATGTAGTGGTCGATAGAGCTCCATGAATAGAGTAGCGCAATATTTGAAGGAATATTTTTAATTCTATGCACTGCAGAAAATACATTCCAGCTAACAGTTAATGTTTCTGATACAAACTTCATACCACTGCAGATCTCTATACTTACTTAATTTACAGGGTAAAATATTCATCAATTTATTCATAGTTAACAGATTATTGTTACTTTATATACTGATTCCCCCATTTAAGCAAAGGTAAACTCTGTTATCAGATACAACTTAATAATTCAATAATTCAGGCTCACTTGCTGCTCCCAGAGTGCAGCACACAAGTCCTACATGTTATGAATCTGTGATTGATCTCTCAAGAAGTTTGTCATATATCATGCTTTTTGTATATTGGTGTCCCAATTGCTTACAATTTAAGTCCGAGTGTTTTGGACCAAGATGTTATTGCGCTCATGAACCACTCCTATCCTTGTGCTGTGCTCATATCACCAGTTAAGTCCTATTTGATTACAATATATCCCTCCCATAACATTTTTATGCTACAGTTCATAGATTAAGAAAAGAATGTCTATTTTATCTGCCTTACCACAACTGTTCCTACACATCTTCCATAGTTAAACATGTATCTTCACTATTTAATGAAAGCAAATCACACTATCAAACAAAACTGTTAATATTATCTCTCTGTCTACGGTGCAAAATGGTTTGCCAGAATGTATTAGTAACTCCTCTCAGCATCATTTATTTTGCGTGTTTTAAACACAATGGCACAATTTTATGAACAGTACGGTACTGTTCAATAAATAGGTTTGAGAGACTCATGCGTCCAGTGCCAACGGGTTAAAGTCAAAGATTTTGCGAATAAAAGGTTGTGCAGTTGAAGTATTAATAATTGCTTTAGGTTTGAAAGTGGTTATTATCATTTTCTCAATTCAAGAAGAAACACAATTTTATTCCTTGTTTACAATTTGCACTTTTTTTGAAAAAGGGTATAGTTTAAAGTTCCTTTTTATGTTAAACACTTTTCTTGTTTTGAACTCGTAAATGTTTATGATTGTCATTGTTTCATTGTAAATTTGTTAGTTTTTGAAGTCGTTCCTCATCTTTATGTTTTATGATTTGGTGATGGTAATTGCAAAAAAAAATGTAATATGGATAGCTTAATAATATGCAACATCATTATGACTACTACAGAAAGTGGAAATTGAAATAGTATACCTCCTTTCATACCGAAAACAAAGTGAATGCGGAAAATGGTAGTCTCGTTATTAATCATGTAATATAATTGTATGTCACGGTTAAGTATGCAAATGATCAAGAGTAACTGGGTCTCCAAATATAATTTGCTGGGAAAGGCTTCCAATTGAGTGGTTCTACAGTTTTTAAGTAGATGTCAAGGTGCTATCGTAGTAAGATGGTGGGTGGGTACTATTCTAGGACTTCAATTATTGTCTGTTTACTGCAATAGCTGGATTATATACTACTGGTGCTATGTCGTAAGTCTGTTCTGATCTTGTATGGTTCCTATTCATTGATAGAGACTTGTGTAGGGGAAAGCTGTATTGATGATAACGGTGCTCTTGAACTGTGATGTTAATTATAGCATTGCACCGCTTTTATTCACTTTCCAGTCCTTCATGAACCACTCAGTTTGGAGTTTGCCTGACCCTACTGATACCCTGATTTTGAATCATTTCTCAAGGCTTTCTTTGTTTTAGTTCCTCTATGTTGTGCATACTCATTTTTTTTGTATATTTTGTTTATTTGTTTACATTTATGATGTAAATGATATTCAATGTGAGGCTGTTTTGTAAGAGGGCTCTCAGTCCTCTGGGGATTTTCCCTTTAGATCATTTGACTGTATCTGGGACAAAGATGTCCTTTACAAAAGTAACGCCTTGAAAGCGTTAAGTGATAATATTGCAAAGCAACACTGACTAGTTTGAATTTTGTTCTGTTTAGTTTTTCTTATTTGTTTCTTATATGTTGGCACAAACCATCATAATTTACAAATGTTACTTCAGAACATTTTATGTTGTAATGTGTGATGATAGTATTTATTGAAATAAGAATACCAATTCTTATAAAACAAAGTTCAACCCATTTTTAGTTTATTTTTTATTTTTCCAGAATCCCCCTCCTATAAAGAAAACATCCACTATGTAGTTGTGCATTAGACGTTGGCAAATTTTATTTGCCCAGCTGCTCTGTGGTGGCTGAGTGAGATTTTCCTGAAGGTTTAAGTTCCTTAGCCTCTTTTGGCACCATTGCCCTAATGTGGCCTGTGAATATATACACTCCTTAAACTGATCATTTTATTTTATAAAATTTTCCCTAAATCCACTCTGAAAGGAAAAGGTACACCCCATATAGTGGCATCTCATTAATTTATCAATGCAGCTCTCTTGTTTCTGGGCTACATAAGTAACATTTTCACGATGAGTTCATTACCAATGTGAAACACATCTACCTCAATCCTCTCAACTGATACAGGCATTAAAGTCTCTCATTTGTAGACTTCAATAACCAAGAAGGAAAAAAAACGTAAATATCGAAAAGCTATCCTAAACGTTCTTCTTAAAAATAGCTTTTATTTTTTATCTGCTTTTCTCTCAGTGACGATATGCTGCAATTTGTATTATTTAGTCAACATCTGTTGTACTTTGGCCACATGTTTGATTACTATTTCTTTACAACACTTGAGTTGCATAACTGTCTTTGACTAAGAAAGGGACTCTGGGTTCAGGACTTTCTCATTTCTTAATTATTGGTGCTATCTTGTATACTATTAATTTAAAAATTTAATAGTTTTGGTATAAGATTGCAAAATTTAGGGGCTCTTAAATTCCTTGCCAAACAGAATCCCATTTTATGTTTGCATAGAGATCATTGAAAGTTTCTCGCAAAGCAGTAAATATTGTTCAGTCTGTTGTTTATGATTTTACTCACAAGGCTTCCATGTCATTATGACTAGTCTTGGTGTGTTTTGAAAAAGAATCTTAAGTGCAGGTGTCTGCTATTGTATCATAAATGTGTAATGTTGTGTGTTTTCACTACGATAGATGTACATAGAAAGTTGGTGTTTGTTAAAATTTTGTGAATATACTAGCTACATCATTGACCTCTAAACATAAATGGTCTGGAAACGACCAAGACAAATGTATTTGGCTGATAAACATTTGTTTCCGCGCTATGTGAAAAAAACATATCGCAAAAGGATTCTGTAAACTATGTTTTGTAGAAATAGGTTTTTAATATATGTAAATAAATTTATGAGCAACAAAAGCTGGAAAAAATTAATTGGGAATTTCCCCAGGCAGGACAATTATGACGCCCCTAAATGTTCAGGCCACACAAGAATGCCACATAACTCAACACCGTTCATCTGGCGCCAGAAGGGCAGGCAACCCATCGTGCTCGAGGGCAAAGGCCATTTTCACACCAAATTAAATTCTCAGCAAACATTGGCAACCTGGCATGTGTCCCCCACACAATAACATTCTCGCAAATCTAGGTTGGTCGGCAAAGGAGCGCCGGTCAGGTAGGCAAGCCATCGCACACAACCTCCCGGGACGTGCCGATAGAGTGGTCTACCTTCCCGGCGCGGTGTAACAATAGCGCCTTTTTCCTTGAAGCGATGCTTCGGTTTTGATGCGGCGAAGAGGCTGTGGACGAGGGGTTGACTGCCTGTCCGACGCATGCTCTAGTAATTCCAGTTTTTCGCCAGAAAAAGACTGTTTAGGGCCTAGACAGTCCTCAAAATAGTGTTAGTTAACAGGTAAAGGGGAAATGAGCCCAACAACACTTAGTAACTGATGCAAATGCATCCTCTAGTGAATTTTATTATCTCCACTTCCTCACAGGTTCACAGAAAAGGCACTGATTATGGAGTATTGAGTATAGGAAACAACTCATATTCCTGTGGGCTAACTCCTCAAGAGGCTGACAATAAACGTGACTTAACAGGTACAAGGCACATAATACATAATACATACAAATCTTTGGACACACACTCCAGAAATGATTGCTAGGAGCTTCATTTTATAAAATTTCTTTAGCACTGGTTTGACATGAAAGTAAGTAAGTATAACTACACTTAAGGTCACTAAAAGTAAGTTTAATAATATTAATTCACACTAAGTAGAAATTTTATTAGCGGAAATGGCAGCCTTTTGGTGAGTCAGCCCTTTTCTAGATCCAACATTTACAACTGCTGTACAGAAGAGAAACAACTTAAAAGGAGAACAAGAAAATTACAATACTGAAATTAACACAATCACAAAATTATGTTCAACAATAACGAGGTTTTCAATTCATTTTGCCTCTTGTCTGTTTACAGAAACATACATAAATACAAATATATACAAGCACAAACATTCAACTATACATACATAAATACATATATTTACATACGTACAAAGCTTACAATCACTCAATCTTGAGAATGAAGGTATCTTCTGAAAGTCACTCGCTGACTCTCCAGTGAACAAGAAATGAAAGTTGCAACACAATTTGAGGAACACACTATCATTTCCTAGTATAACTCTTTTCAGAAACACTTGCAGTTGAAAATTCTATAATAGCTAAATTAGAGTTCTTTACTAAACAGAAGCAATTGGAAACACATTTCTATAAGATAAAAATAAATAGTGTACGATGCATATTAAAATTCTACATTAAGGGACACAATTTGTTAAAGAAGAGTCAAATATTGAAACAGTTCAGGTGCTTGGAACACTGACAAGGTTTGAAAAATGAGATATTTTCAGATGACTAATAATTTAAAATATTTCACCGTCTAGCACCATTTAGTGGTTGCATCAATGATCCGTTAATATAGGGGTAATGGGGGTACATGTGATTGTTCTGGGTGTCTTGATACTGAGGCTGTGCCATCATCTGAACGGGAATCTGCCCAGACTGATTGATGAAGCTTGGAGTGTTGGTCAGATAGGGACTCTGGAACAAAAAGATAAAAACATCAGAACACCAGAAACAATAAAATTAAAAAGTAAGCCCTTAAAAATAGTACAAGCATACCTGTTGTTGCATACGGTAGCCATTGAAAGAGCCATATTGGGCCATGATGTTGGGTGCCACACTGACCCCCATCCTTGACGCATGCAGAGAGGAGTGTTGCACAGCTGGACTAACATTGTTAGGATTACTGCTGTTTGCACTGTTTGAACTGCCACTTCCTCCGGTTACACCTGAAGAACCATTGCCACTGCTGTTGCTGCTGCTATTGCTGCTGCCACGGTTGGAGCGAGAACCGCTGCTGGCCACATGGATAGGTGTTGGTAAGCCACTCATAGAGCCCGGAGACTGATAATACTTGTGATAACTGGCGAAGAAATCTTGACTTTGTGGGTAGTTGGGATGAATTCCTAAAAATAACAGAAAAAGAAAATCAAATTATTCATTGTGATCGGGTTCAACCACCGTGCAATAAACTTGTTGTTGAATTAAAAAGACTTTCTTAATCAAGTGATCGATTCAAATTACCTGAAGGCGGCGTGGCCAGGCCTCTCGAGCTTTGTTGGTGGAACATCTGACTCGAGGGTGGGGGTGTCATGTGGTGCGAGGGCAGTCCGGGGGGCGGGGTGGTTATCATGGCCCCCGAGGGCGGCGTCGGACAGTGGCCGTGGCCCACTGGAGTCTCCAGCCCGTTCGTCAGCTGCTGGAGCTTGGCCAGGCTGCACGAGGGGTTGCTGGACGCGGGGCCGGCGTGGCCGCCGCGCGGGCCTGCCTGGCGGGCCGGGCGTCACGGGCGTCGGCGGGGTGCTCGCGGCAGCAGTCGCGGTGGCGGCGGCGCTGCCTTGGCTGGCGGGGGCGGCGCAGGCCTGCAGCTGGGGCCCGGGTGCAGGCGCAGGGCCCGGGCCCGCACCGGGACTCGGCGCCGTCATGGGGCTGGACACTGCGTGCGACGAGGGCTGCGGACAGAGCACGCGTTAGGACGCTAGCATAGCAAGTCAGCATCCGGTCCGGACCGTCCAGGAAGAAGCACTTATTGCTTACCGGCAAGCTGTAAAAGTTGGCCGCCGACACGGAACAGTTAGGCGAGGGCCCCAGTCGGTGGTGTGGCTGAGACTGCGGATGAGGGGGCATTCCATGCTGTGCTCCAGCGGCTCCAGCGGCGGACGCGGCAGCCATGTGCTGCTGCAGGACCATGTAGGGCCCAGCAGCCTGAGAGAACGCCGGCGACATCTGGGGGACTCCGATGTAGTTCCCTTGGGACATGTGGTGCTGATGCGTGCTCTGGAGAGGACAAATGCATAGAATCAAAAATTAGAAAGTAATTCAAAAATGAAAGAGAAAGGAACCATTAGACGAGAGTTACCTGCTGATGGTGTGCCAAGGCAGAGGCACTGGAATGCTGTGGAAGCAGAGAAGGAGGAGTGGCCCTCTGCTGAGCTGCCTGTTGTTGCTGCTGCTGCTGTTGTTGCTGTTGCTGCTTTTGCTGTTGATTTCTGCTACGGGCATTGCTTCTCGACTTTGTTGCTTTGGGCGCCGCTGGCTGGGGCAGTGGCTGTGGGGGAGGGGGTGGCTGGGGTTGAGTTTGCGGTGGTGGCTGGCCGGAGGGCGACTGCAGGGGGGTGATCGAAGGCTGAGTCTGCTGCATGGGGTGGGATGGGTGTGGCAGCGGCACGTAAGGACTCTTGGCGGGCGCGGGCTGAGGCTGCGCCTGGGGGCTGTGCTGAGGGACGTGGTGGCCGGAGTACGGCGACTTGGACGGCGCGGGCGGCGGTCCGCTCATCGGTGCGGGCTGGGCCGACGGGTAGCTCTTCTGGGGGTGGTGCGAGGGCAGGAACGGCGACTTGGCGGGGGCGGGGGACTGCTGCGGCTGCGGCTGTGGGGGCAGGTACGGCGACTTGGACGAGGGCGGCTCCACGCGGTGCTGCTGTTGCGGCTGCGGGGGCTGCGGGGCCTGAGGGGGCTGCTGCATTTGCAGCGGCATGCCCGGATAGGCGGCCTGCGCCTTGGACTGGTACGGCGACTTGGCGGGGGCGGGGTGGTGCTGCTGCTGAGAGTGGTGCTGCTGCAGGGGCGGCTGGTGTTGATGTTGCTGCCGGTGCTGGTCGTGGTGTTGCGGGAACATGTGCATGGGATAGCCGCTCTTGGAGTTGGCGAGAGCGCTCTGATGGAGGTAGGCGTTCTTGTACGGGTCCATGTGGTGCTGCGCCTCACTCATGGCCTTGGCGTTCATCTGTTGGGCCATCATCTGGTGCGCCATCATGTGGTGGGGCACGAACTGGTGGTGCAGGGACAGCTGCTGCGCGCAGTCCGAGTAGTGCTGCATGGACGCGTGCCTGTCGTGCATGGACGGCCCGTGCGCGTGCAGGCCGTGCTGGCCGACCGCGGGGTGGTTCACTTGCGGCATGGCGTGCGTGGGCGCGCCGTGGGGGACGCCATGCGACACGGCGTGTCCATGCGGCGCTCCGTGAGAGGCTCCGTGCGCCGCTCCATGCGGGGCGGCAGGAGGACCACCGTGAGGGCCGCTGTGTTGAGGGGCGTGCGGCCCGGCGGGGTGTGGCGACGCCTGTGGCTGCGGCAGGCCGTGTGGCGGGTGCGGCGACGTCTGCGGCACGTGGGGGTGGCCGGCGTGGGGCATGGCGGGTGGCGGCGCAGTGATGGGCTGCCCGATGGCCTGCCCGGCTTGACTGCCGAGTGCCGGCGGATGCTGCGGCATGTGCCGCGTCCCCGCAGCCCCCGCAGCCGCGTGGGGCGGCCCTGGCGGCCCTGGCGGCCCGTGTGGAGGCATGTGCCCGGGCGCGCCGTGCGAAGGGTGCGCGCCGTGACCGCCGCCGTAGGGGTGCGGCGACATCGGCGGGGGGCAGGGTCCCTGCATGGGCGGCGCGGGTCCGCTGAGGGGCCCCACCGCCACGGACGGCCCGCTGCTGGGCGGCCTGCTGGACGGACCGTTCGGCACCGTCACCAGCGGTTGGGTCGGCGGACCTGGGGCGGGCTGGCGCGTCGGGGGCGGCCCGGGTAGCACAGTGGCGGCCGGCATCCCTTGAGACAGGTCCCTATCCCTGGCCGGGGTGCGCGGCCCCTGCGGCCCCTGCGGCCCCTCCGGGTGCGAGTGGTGAGAGCCGTCGCCGGAGGCGGGGCCGCCCGGAGCCATGTCCGTGGAGGAGATGGAGGTGGGGGACTCGAGGCCCATCTCGCACTGGTTGTTGTAGCCGTGCATCGAGTGCACCGAGTTGGTCGTCGAGTCCGGCGTGTACACCCCCAGGCTGTGCAGCTCCGGTGCCGAGGGCGCCTTGACGGACCCAGGGTTCTGAGGAGTGGCGGGCTGAACAGAGTCACTGCAATGGTCACCTTGGGGTGTTGAGCTGGCGCTGTCTGGCACCTGAAGACAAACAAACAACAATTAGGACTCGTAGGAGGTGACAGCCTTAAGAAAAATGGTGATATGTTATGCTTAAACAACTAAAATTACAATAAAATAAAAGGGTTTAATACCTCAGAATTGATGGAATGAAGCTGCTTTTCAGACTCCATTGGCAAAGCAGAATATGGCATTTCAGTTGGTAACCCAGTAGTCCTTGAGGCTAGTGCGTCATTGCTTGGTGATTTGATGGTATTGTCAACACCCAAAAGAGTCGGAGGCGATTGGACTTTGGTCACAGGCACAAACTCGTTACCTTGGTTGGGTTCCTGAATTATGGGTGGCACAGAATTGCAGTCGTATCTTTGATGATCTCTTTGAGATTGGAGGTCAACTTCAAACGGTCGTTGACTTTCCATAGACAGATGCGATGACTCTCTTTCAATGCTAAGTTGTTGATTTTGTTGAGACTCTTCTTTTTGCTGGTTATGCTGGTCTGACTCCTTACTTTGCTGATTTTGATGTTCAGAATTGTTACTTTGCTGGTTCTGATCCTGGGATTGTTGCTGCTGTTGCCCTTGCGACTGCTGGTCCTGCTGTTGACCTTGAGGTGCTTCACATTGATGCGAAGAGGTACTGCTGCCTTGTGGCGGTTGCTGGTTTAATGAGGGAGAGGATGGAGGCTGAGGGGACTGAGGAGGGAGCTGCGGAGATTTATCACACGAATCTGGTTGAACTAGGGGTGAAGTCTCTTGAGATTCATCATCATTGCTTGCCACACTTGATGTTTCCTTGTTGTTGTCTAGATTATCTAAATCAGAAGACTTGGGTAGGATGTCTTGTGGTGCTTCTGACAAATCGTTTGAACTATGGTTTTCATTGGGCTGGGATGAACCAAGCTGTGTTGCCTCATCAGTCCCAGTATTAACTGGAGTGGGAGGGTTACTGTTACTTTCAATTGGCTGGAAACCACTGAGCTGTTCTTCAGAATCGTCTGATAGGTTGCTCTTGTCCTTACCATCAAGACTTTTCTGTGCCTTTCTGACCTTGGCAGATTCAAATTCTGTTTCCATCTGAACCAACTTATCATCAAAATCATCTTTAGTTGGTGTGATGGATTGATCCGCCGTGTCTTTGGATCTAGATGAGGCTGGTGAAGTGGGAGTAGCTGACAATGAAGAGACTGAATCTGCCGGTTCAGGGCCCTCGGAAGACATGGGGCTGCACACCTTTTCAGGTGTTTTAAGAAGTGGGTCAACAAGCTCTTTTGGAGTTTCCTCACTATTCTTGTCTGAGAAACTATCATCACAAATCAACACAGAGTGTGGCTCTTGTATTTCACCCCCTGTTGTGTTGACAACCTCAGTCAGAGAAACAGTACTCAGCTCATTTGACACATCTTCGGAATCCTTACTTTCCTCCTGTTTGTCATCAGACTTTTCATTAGAACCACATTCATCCTTAGGAATATCTTCTGAATCTTCCAGTGGTACTTTTGGTGATTTTTCTTCCGTCTCCTTTGGCTGAGATTCTTCACCATCGTCTGAATCCTCTGTGGCAGCATCCTTTGGTGGCGGCATGATAGATACCTCATCAGGAATTGCATCTTCCACCTCCTGAGAGGTATCTTGCAGATCCAAAGACACATTATCAGCCTCAGGTCTAGTTTCAGATTCTGTTTGAGAGCTTGCTGTTTCATCTTCGGCTTGACTAGTATCAGGTTCATCTTCGGCAGTAGATGTGTTCTTCCTTGCTCGCCCGCTGGCCTTCCTGGCCTCAGTTCTAGATTTATATAACAATTGGCGTTTTGTGATGTGACCTTTACGTGGTCGGCCTTTCTGCCAACCACGTCTTTTTGGAGGCGGCTTTGCTATTTCAGCCTCTGCTGACTTTTCACTTTGCTCCAGTAATGAAGGTGGAGACAGTGGAGGAGGCTCCTCTTGACCTTCTTGAGTCTGGTCCACTTCTGGTTCAAGTTCAGGCATTTGGGCGTCACAGCCGTCATCAGTTTCATCCAAGCTCCTAGAAGTGGGACGAAGATTAGTGTGTAAAGCAAACAAACTAGAACTTTCATGAACCCATGAAATAGTGAGCACATACTTTGCAGCTGGTGTTTTGGAGTGCCTTTGAGACCATCTGCCTCTCTTTACTGATACTGCAGAAGCTACAGCAGCTTGTTTTGATGGAGAGAGACTCAGAGACCCTCGCCGTCCAGTCTTTGTATCATCACTGAGCTCCGATAGGTCCTCTTGGTTGCTCAATGAGGCACGGGTCTTGGTAACTGTTGTTTTAACAAAATTCAATCAATCAAACAATCAATCACCCAACCCCTTTCTTTGCATAACAAAATATTTGTTGAAGAGTAAGTCAAATTGAAAGTATAGAGGAGGAAATATTGTACCCAATACTTACAAGCTCCTCTAGTGTCTCTGAGGGGTGAGGCTTTTCTTCTTGATGGCATGACCCTAGGCTCCGATGCCGATAGTTTTGACTTCTCTTCATCCTGAATGCATCAAGAAGCAGGAGTTAACAGCATGAAGATTTAGCTGGTTCAGAAAACCAATTGACAGTATTTGTAGAAAACATTAATACCTTTAATAAAGCAGCAGGGCTTCGCAACGTGGACTTTGAAGACTTTGATGTACTCTTTGGAATACAGCCTGGGGTATAGACGTGACTTGTCACCCTCTTCCTCCCCACTAACTTGCGTACTTTATTGGGTTGAACAGACAGCAGCTCTTCAGAAAGGGGTTCCTCTTCCACAGGAGATTCAATATCACGTTTTCGCTTTGAACTGGGCATTGGGGATCCCTCGCCATCTGATTCGGCATCACCGTCTGCATCACGCTCTGACTCAGCTTCTAACCGAGAGGAATGTCTCTGGTGCAAGTTTTTAGAAGCTCTTATATTCTTTCTACGAGTAACACCAGGGGTCTGCACAATATTATCTTCTATATCTGCTTGATCTCCAATGTCTTCCTTCAATTTTTTCTTAACTACGCTCTTTGCTTGAGAACTATTTTCATCTACAGGAACATGTTCAGTCTTTTCGTCTTTCACTGATGAGTCTAATGTGGGCATTTCTTCATCAGCAGATTCATCATCCTCTTCCTTCACAAGACCCAGTGGAGTGGCAACATTACTGACAAGGGGAGTCCATCTCAGACATTCAGGCTCCAATGCAATTCTAGTCTTACTATTTGCAACACGAATGGCATGCTGGTCAACTAGATTCCAATCAATTATAATAACAGGGCGGGAGGTTGTGTCATCCCAGTGAACAAAGCCCAACAGCTGGAAAGCAACAACTATATCATGACTGTACATGCCAGTTCCTTTGCTGATAGCTTCTAATGTCCGACTTGTAACGCCTGACATGGTATTCTTGTGATCATGTAAATATTCTAATATTACAGATTTCCAATAGGCATGATATGATATACGACCCAAGTCTGAAAGAGGCTTTTCAGGAGTACCAGGTTGACCCTCTTGTTTCGATAAAAGGTAACTGAAGTGGATGAGAAACCTGCCAAATCCTTGTTTCTGATACTGTGGCATTGTCATAATACAGGAAACATTATACTTCTGGGCACAATGCTTTTCTTTAGAAAAATATCCTACCAAATGGCATCCTTTGCCATCATTTTTGGTTAAAACATAGAACAAGAAGGGCTCAACATCATAGTACAATGTCTTATGGTCTAGAAAAAGTTTGGCCAACAAGCACAGATTCTGGCAATATATCTTATTGACATTGCCATCGACCTGAAACATAAAATAAGTGTTATGAATGCAGCCTGAAGTTGACTCACTTGTGTAATGACAAGTCACTTGATATGCACTTACTTCAAATACTGATATATTTTGATGCCTATAAATTTCGGTGGCAGGAGGGTGCCTCCAACTACATTTATCAAGATGTCTGTCCAATACTGCCTTGCTCTTTGTGTACTTCAGGCAAAATTCACATAAGTAGAGTTTTGGTAACCTGTTAGATGGCCAAGAGGAAGTCATTTACAATTACATTGTCAATTACAGTACTTTTGTTGAAATTAAGGGTAACATTTCATTAATTGACCTTATCCTTACCTTGCATACTCTTGAGGGAATGGCGATGAGTACCATGTTTCAATCTCATATTGTCCAAATTCAATTGCTCCAGGACATCTTTGACCAGTAAGGCCTGAAGGACTAGGGAGTGACCCGGGTGGTAAAATTGATTCATTTGATGATACAGCTGGAGTCATCTAAACAATAAGAAAAGAAAGGAGGGAGGGAGGTATAAGTACAATTTTATTTTTAATTTTAGCAACACTGCCAGCAAACGATCTTTGACTTACAGAATTGGCTCTAGCTCGCATGGCTTTGAACAACTCTATGTCCTTTTGAGTTACCCCTGGGGGTAAATTAGCTGTGAGATTCAACGTGAGGCCAACTGTAACAGCAAAAATACGGAACGATGAGAAACCAGTTTGAAGAAAGGAACCAAGCGTCAAGCACATTTTGATTTTGCAAGGCACGCCATAACAAAGCAAAATCAAGTTGGATGATGTGTGGCACATACATAAAATTTCATAATTATACTGAATGAAAAATAACATTTTAAAATTCATTGGTTACAAACTTTAACTGGCTATGTACCACATAACACCCCCTGTTAACATGAAGACATTTCTTTTTGGGGGGAGAAAAAGCAATTTAAAGTTTCTGGAAATTATGAAGCAAACTCAAATTTCAATTTCAACAGTAGACAAAACAGCATTCTAGAAAGTGCATTGGAGGCAATTAAGTTATGCTACATCTAAACAGGACACAACACATGTTGACTGAATGTAAAAATAGAGTCAAAACAGACTAACCCTCCCAGTTTCATAATTTAAGTTAATAACAAAGAAGTGATATTGTTTTGCTTGATCTGGAGAAATTTTCAAATGAGTGGGATTCACAAAAGGAACCACTACACTGAAAGTACTAAAATGAAGCAAAAATAAAAATAAAGGTATGTAAATTATAATGCAAGTAAATGAAAACAATAATGCATCTGAACACTAAATTATCCACAATAAAAAAAAGATTTTTTTAAAAGAAAGAAAAAACACACTCTGAAAAATAGCAATGTGAGCTAAAAACAAAGCACAAAAGACAGTATCTGGTCCAGAAAGAATCAGTTCATCTGCTCAAAACTATGAACAATATACATATTATTAAATCATTTATCAAAATTGAGTCAAGCTCAGCACACAAAATAAGAGACAAGCAGCCAGCCATCAGCATTTTGAGCAGCAAAGAGCAGAGCCCAAATCACATTTCAAGACCAGCACTGACTTTTCATAAAAGGTAATCTAGAAATATAAACTAGGGGTTTGCATGCTCATAAATCAAATGAATGGCAACTTGGATACACACTATATCTACAGTTCCCATTCATTCAAATATTTTAGTGAACAGTTTCAGTCCAATCCAATATTTTAGAGGACTTAGTTGATGGCTTCAGGGTTTACAAAAACTAAATTAGCTGACATTAAATTGCTGCTGAATTTAGCAATCAAAACACAGTTAACCACTTCGCACAGTACAATCTTGACATTTGGGAATGACAAAAGCTTACTCAAATTGGAAACAAAAATAAAATTATGTACGTCAAATCAAAGTAAAAACACAGGGGCAGGACAGTTTAGCAGTAGCCAATTTCAGTTAAGTAGTTTTGAGTGAGAGTATAGAGCACACGAACAAGCACGGAAGTGGTCAAATATAAGGTGCCATTTACGTCGCCATAATCCACAAGCTGAGGGTGGCTTTATGAAAACACCCACTGAAGTCACACAGGTTGTACCAGAGACTTCCTGAAGTGTGTGAAAATTCCTGAAGTCGCCAACTCCTTTGACTGCTATAAACACTTCCACCACACACCACCGCATGCTTGGAATGGGTCACGGGTACAGGGATAAATTTGAGGGTTATTTTCTGCAGATAGCAGATGTGTAAAGTTAAGAAAAGGAAGAGCTCAATTGACAAGAGGATCAGTTAGGGGCAGTCAGCCACCAGCACCAGACAAAGGTGCACCCAACATTTTCTGAAAAACAACTGACCTCAAAAAGAGACAAAGGAATATGAAAATATAACACAGGTGGGTCGGACCGTACAAACTGGAAACATACGGCACCAGACCTCTTGTGCCACCTCCAAAGCAATGTTAGATCTAAGGTGCAACTAATGATAAGGCTTTTGTAGCCTACAAGTGCAGATTTTGCCTTTCAGTGTGACCAAGCATATCTGCTAGACTCTAAAAATGGAATCTGTTGAGGACCAAAACGAGTGCTATTGAGTTGAAGACAATGAAAACTCGAAGACAGAGACAACAGATGGAAATATCCACCCAGATGTTAGGAATGTAGCAAGCAGGAAGAAATAAAATTGGTTCTGATGCTTTGCAATGAAAAGCAAGAGGAAAGAGGTGGGTAGTTTTCTTACCCGGTTGACTTGCAGGCAGCACCATGCATGCTGACGCAGTGTTGGTGGGTGGTTGAGGCACTAGAAATGAACTATGTTGATATCGGTGGTGAGTCTGAGTGGCCTCAGCAATCAAGCGCTTCTTTTTCTCTTTTATCTCATCAACAGGCGATACATAGCCAAAGTCATCTTTCATCACCCTCCTTCGCTGCTCCTGCTCATGTGTTTTGCTATCCACAGCTGTTTTAACTAGAAGAGAGGGTGACATATGATTCCATAAACGAGAAACACCAAAATTAGATTGCTTGGTCTTTGAGACAGATTTCAGTCTGCTCTCATCATGTAAATCTCGTGCCACCTTCCCTCTTGATTCCACCTTCTGCTTCTTCGAAAGCAAGTTGGTGTTAGACACTGTGTGAAGAATGGGGACCTCTTTGGCGTCATTGATTCTTTTTCTCACTTTAGAGTCACTTGAGATGTATCCAGGCTCCTCATTCAGGCTTGAGTTCTCAGAGCCACCTTCCAACAGGCCTTTTATAAAACCACCATTGTTGGCTGCTTTGGTTATTTGCCTCCAAGTAGGGTAGCACACTGGTTTCTCAAGTTCTCTCCTTTTTTTGTTTTTGTTAAGTTTTGAAAGCTTTGACATTAGTGAGTTTTTTCTCCATGATGGGTTCAGTGAAGTGTGCTTCTTACTATCAGATGACAATTTGAAAGTTGTTACATTTTCAGCTTTCTTCTTAGCAACTTTTACTGGAGAATTACTCTGAGGTGAGGTCTGAGCTGACACCCGCCTGCTGTGAGCAGGAGCAGTAAAAAAGTGACTCAAGCCATCATATAGACTGCGTAACTGGCCAAAGCCAACCATTCTTTCAAAGTTTCTGGAGGAACTTATATTAGATGACACTGTGCTACTACTGACTATGGAGTCACCCTTCCCATCACAGCTACTACTTGGTTTCTCAGCTGCATCAGAATTCTTCAAGTGCTTTCTTGGTGCTAAGCTTTTCAGTTCTTCCTTGAAATCAGCCCTTGATGTCCGAACAGACTGTGATTTTTTCTGTGACGCTTTTGAGTAACCATTCCAACTTCTTTCATCAAAACTTGTTTCAGAATCGCTGCTGTTTATGCTACCTCCTTTACAGTTGCCTGAACCATTCACAAAACTTCTTCTAAATTTTGAAGAGCGAAAGGATAAAGGATCTTTTTTTCCTTTACTTCCCACAGATTTTGAAGATGTTACATGAGCTTCCCCAACCTGATTAGATTTACTTGGAAAGGTATTCATCACAGAATCAACAGTATTTACAAAGGTATCACAGATCTTACTTTTACCAAAATCCTTCAAAGCATTGGGAAAAGACTCTGATGATAACCTGGCCGCCGCTGCCGCCGCCGCAAAACCCCAGGGCTCCTGAGAGTCAGGGCTTGACTGATTAAGACTGGCCAGGAGAGAGCCAGTGGAACCACAAGTAGCCTCCCCAAAGACATGTGCATTCGGCTCAGACACAAATTTAGAAATTCCTCCCATAAATCTATGATTATTACTATGGACCACTACCGTGCTTGTGTTCATTTCTGCGTCACTCGAATCTGATGAACTACTGCTGCTGCTTGACCGTCTGCCACTGCTGCTGCTACTACTACTACTTCGGCTGTCACTGCCACCTGATGAACTCCTACTCAAGGAACCTAAATTATCAGCTACACCCTCGCTCGACCTGCTACCATTACTCTTTTTAGTTTTATAAAAGGCACTCAGTCGGAAAAACTTTTGTTTCTCCTTAGAAAGGCGATCACCTCGCTTTTCTTTAAACTGCTTAGACGCACTAATAGAGCCACCACCGAGTGAGCGAGGGGCAACCAGAGGAAAATGAGAATAGGGATCATTACCCTCCTCTGATGTTGAGCCACATGTGCTCTCCTGATGCGTCTCCACTGTGATACTCTTTAGAATCTTCTTTCCTGAACCTCGGAGAGGTGTCTTAAGAGGGCTCCTCGCAGAATTCAGAGGGGTTTTACACTGGTTTTTGAGTACAGTGGGCCGGATAGGCATTCGTCCGTGAAGTTTGCTGAAACCTCGAGCAGGAGTTTTTAAACTTGGCCTACCTGGGGTCGATCTCATGGGTGAATCAGTATCTGACCCAGAGAGCCTTGAGCAGTCTACTTCATCCCCAGGAACCCGTAGAGCCCTACAAGATAGAACACAAAATTTTGAAGTATAAATACATAATAGGAAAATTGAGGAAGAAACTTAAGCTGCAAAATTACCTTTCAGGTTCTCTTCCAGCTCTTTTATCACGAACTTTTAAATACTTCTTCCGAACCCTACTTGCATGATTTAAAGGTTTGTTGATGTTTGCTTTCTTCCTATGGACCTCAAAGCAGTGCTTACATTGCCATGGACTTTTAGGCTTGCGCTCAGCAGGAGGATCTAAGCATCCAACATGGAAAGCTCGATCACAGTTTGAGCACCCAAGCAAACAAACCTGAAACCAAACAAATTTTTTATCAGCCAGACAAAATACATCAATAAATTCCAATAAAAGAAAAAAAGCCACAGAGAGAAACTCTGGTGATAAAACATTGAGGCAACACTTACCTGGTCTTTAGTTTTTCCACATTTGCCGCAAGTACAACATTCTTCACAAAACCAGGCAGCCCCTGGTTGAGACAACAGGGCTATGAACTGATTAGTAGTTGTGCTTCCTGGCAATGATACACATGAAAGATGCACACATGCACCACATCCGGCACATTCACTAAGGGCTTCCTCCAACCCCTCAGCATTTCTGTCAGTTCCTAGACATTCACTGCATATTGGGAGATGAGTCTAAAAACAATAAAAAGTCAATTATTAAAAAATTTGTTCAATCTTCAACAAGTAAAATAATTACAATTTAATAATCTGAAGTCAGTTTCAAAATAAACTCCTTTGTTATACAAACCTTTGGCAAATCTTCATTGAGTAAATCTTCAGCAGACAATCGTTTCTTTCTAGGAGTTCCGGAGTCTGATCTCCTATCACCTTTAAGCTTAGAAACTTCCAAACTTTTCAGAGATAGTTTGATGAGTCTTCCTTCCTGAACCAAGAGTCCGAGGGCCAAAGCCCTCTTCACAGAAACTCTCAGAACAGATTTGAAATCTACATCACTTAAATCAGTCTCAAGAGAGAAAGTTGTCCTAAGTCTATCTTCAACATCCTTTAGTGAACAGCCTTCCGGATCCTGCTCCCGAACAGCACGGACCACAGCTTTGGATAAATCTGTCCCTTTCCCAACTGGAAGAACCCTCTTTGCTTTCATATGGCCAGGATCCCGATAGGTCTCCTGGCCCTTGTTCAAGAGTTTTACAACAGTGCCCTCCTTGACAGCCTGCTCCAAGTGTTCTTCCACAACATCGTCTGATACTTTGCAGTTCTGTCGCACAGTATGGCTGATTCTCTCCAAGTTTGGCCTCTGCTTCTGGTCGCGGATCTTGCCAATGGCAAAGAGAATCCATTTTAAAATGTTTTGATGATCTTCTTTCATAGTGTATAATGCACGTGGATTCCAGATTAACTTGGGTATACATATAGCCACTCCCTGTAGCTTAAGGCTCACAGCCTCAGCTTAGCCAGTGGGAGAATTAAAATGGGTTGTTTGCTGCATAGTATTACATCGCTGTCTTCTAAGCTCCAAGGCTTAGGCGCTGGCTTGAAAGAAGTCAGGAACAGATTCCTGCTTCAGCCGCGCCCCTGATCTTCACAAATAAACCTGGTAGAGAAAAAAGAAAATTTAATGTTAATTGCCTGTACATAATAGAGAACAGTGGTAAATCAGGAGACATGCTGTGTCTTGATTCCAAATCCAAGATAAAATAAAAATTGGCATAAAATGTTATTTAACAAAATTAAAATAAAAGAAATTTAAAAACTTAAACTCCAATAAAGTTGGTTACTGCTGAAGTTATTTCCCACTATGTGAAAACAAGGGTTGTTGTTAACTGCAAAAACTAGCAGACACATGACAGAAACCAAAAATACTACAGAATACACACTTCAAAGCACGTGTTAGGGGAATAAATATGCACAATTTATTCAAAAGGTGTTGTAAATTAATCAAGAGGGTTGTCAATGAATATACTGTGTAAAACTGGCATAGAGCCTAACCAGGGTCGACCCGTCCCGTCAACTAACCCGACTAACGGAATGCGCGAGTTGACCATCATTGCCCATTCATACCGCCACATGTATCGCCGAGCCCTTCCGAGCCGGTAGCGATGCCCGTCTTTGGCCAGTGTTCATGCCTCTCAAACAACCGTAGAAAGCGACAAGTTTTTGGTCGGGTCGAACGCTTGGCTTCTAATAAATGTTTCATGTTTACATACAGTCAATGCGGACTCGGCACACTGATCGATGAAATGAAACCCACACATCTAGAGTCTTGGCTCTACACCGAGCCCAACAAGCGCGACCATACGACGCATGTAAAAGCTACAATACAGCCGCCTCCCACACCATCCCGACCAATAATGCTCGCGGGACAGAAAAAGTACGATACCCATCGTGAAGTAAAAAGCCGAACGGCGGACTTCGGGGCTTCGTTTTCCGCTAACGACACTAAAACAATGGCCGCGGCGCCGGAAATTTACCCGCAAAACCTCGCACACTGAATACAAGACATACTCCCACACACCGACGAGGTGCTCCGAGTAGCCCGCTTCCATCTATAGCCAGAAATAGGAAAAATACGATCACATTCAATCACCATTTGAGATGCTCCAGCGGTCGAAGGCCTACATCATCGCCCGTAGGCCTGGCATTCAGGAACTAATAAGTCTCGTTAGGCGTCGTTTATCGAATTACTTACCTCCGCACTCGTGCACCACGTTGATACGCCGAGCGCAAATATTATCCAGTATTCCAACACGAAATCCGTACCCTAGAAAATATTGTAATCATCACAATACTGTCATCAATCCTAGTTTTGAAAATACTACTTTGCAGTTCGCAAGATGGCTGCCTTTCAGCTCAGTTGACTGCTCACGCATCCATCCCAACATAACGTAAACAAAGGGAGAATCTGTAGTCGGATCAGCCAAACGCGAAATGGCGGTCGACGAACCTCGTCTTTCTGAGGAGGAAATGCGGCGCTATTTAATCAAATCGCGTTTCTCTCGAGTTAGACGAAGGTTACTCGGAACGAACTGGCCCTGCTCGAGAGCACGGGAAAAGACGAGCAGCACAAGATGAAGAGATGTGTGACGGTTGGACTGAATGGAGGGGCGTGCGTGTTGTCCAGTGGCGGGGAGAAAGCGCGAAGCGCGCCACGTTCGATAGAGGCGCGAATGTCTCCGAGAAGGCCAGATCAGGATAATGCCAACTGGATATCATAGGACCGAAACGTGTTGTGGTGAACACAAAGGAAAATTACAAGGGGGAAAAAAGTAACAGAAATTTAAAAGTTTCTTTTTAAATTTTTATTAGCGCAGGAACTGTATGCAAAGAGTGCACACGTATACTTCTTTATGACACATCTCATATTCAACACACATAATTTTACTACTGTATGTAGGTTTCAACAACAGACTAAAGCAAACTTTAATAACAATGCATGAATCTTTCTTTTTTTCAATGCAATTCAGTCACTCATTACTAAAGAGAGTTAATAAGGCTACAGAAATGTGAAAACACATTGGCTAATACAACAAGGAAGGAATAAGAATGTTGGTGTAAAGATTACAGTCAATCGGTCTAAATTGTATAGTTGATTTTCAAGAAATACAAACCACAATCAATATTTTAAAGAGGTGATTTAATAAAATAATGTGATGTTTGCATTAGAATTTGCTTAGTCAAAATCCCCTTGTATAAAGAGAAAAAAAAAGTAGATTTATAATATGCAATAGCACATGTCATTGGTCTACCATACCAACATCAATTCCATTTCAACACAAAACAGAAACAAATGAAATAGAGAAAGACGAAAATAGAAGTCATTTGCTACAAGCTAAAGTGGAGCATCCACAACATCCTATCACCATTTCATAGAACTTCCAGACAGACACATACACGCACACATACTCACGAACACAAACAAGCACAAGCAAGGATTACAAATATTTCCTTTGCATATACCTTTCTCCAAAAGTAAAACAGGGGAAAAAAATAACTTACAAAAAAAAATCAAAAGCGTCGATGAATGAGTAACTGGAGTAAATTTCGTTTAGCATTCCTTCTTGGTCTCAACTACCACAATTTGAAAATAACAAAATAAAAGTCTAACTAGGCGGGGGTGGTGGAGGTGCAGCCAGTAGGTTGGGAAGGTTGTTCAGGCCCGGGGGCGGCTGCACGGGCTGTGGGGGTGGCACCCCCATGTAGCCACCAGACTGCCAGGGGTACATTCCTCCCATGCCGCCCATGCCACCCTGGGCGGGGGGCGGGGGCGGGCGTGCTGATGGGGGTGGCACGGGGCCCACGCCCTGGCCCGGGACGCCTGGGACTCCGGGGACGCCCGGTGGCGGTCCGGGCGGTCCGGGGGGCTGTTGCTGCCACGGGGGAATGCCCGGGGGCGGCACGTTGGTGGGAGGGGGGCGGATGCTCTGTGTGGTGGCCGGTGGCGGAGGCTGCGAGGACGCCAGCCAGGGCAGCAGGGGTGGAATGCTGGGGGTGTTGGGCGGCCCCTGCGACGACGGCGCTGGCGGCGGCGGGGGCGGCGCCTGGAGCAGGTTCGGAGGCGGCACGCTGGGCATCTGCCACGGCGGCGGCACCACCATCGAGTTGCTGGAAGGCGGCGGTGGCCGCGTCATGTTGGGGATGCTCTGCATGGCGCCCGGCGCTACTCCGGGAGGGGCAGGCTGCGGCAGCGCCTGCGCCGCCGTGGGCACCTTGTCGACGGGGGCGCTCCAGGGCGGCGGCGGCAGCGAGTTGGGGATCAGCTGGGGGGGCGTCTGCATCACGGACGGCGGCGGCGGAGCCATGATGGCCCTCGGCTGCATCTGCCGGTCGAACAGTCCGGAGTTGGAGCTGTTGCTGAAACCGCGGCGCTGGCGGTCGTTGTCCTTGTTTTGGCTTGGCGGTGGCCCCTCTCCAAGTTCCGCCATCAAAGACATGTACTGAAAGACAAAAACCCATCAACAACTCTGCAAACTTGCCGGTCGCCACACCCTTACATCACATGACATGTTTTACAACTTACCTCTTCATCAATCTTGGCCTTTTCTTGATTGGTGGAACGCCTACCCTCACCTCCAGCTTTTTGTCTACAATCACGTGCAATGTGTCCAACTCCACCACAAGCAGAACAGGTAATATTGTTGGTGACATTTGGCTTGTCAGGACACTGAAAACAATTTTTAAAAAATCAGCCTTAGCTCTGTTTGCTGTACAGCACTTGCTCAGGAGGACGACAGGTGAAGAGTGGGATAACTCACCATCCACGATTTGTGATCAGTAGCACCACAGTTGGTACACCGTGGCCCATCATTTTCTCTTAAGGTACCATTAAGCAAGGCTAATTCACGCAACTGCATACGCCTTAAATCATTTTGGCCTTCAGGGACCTCTACACCTTGACGAATAATCTCTTTGATCTAAACATAGTTAAAAAAGAAAAGATTGATGTCACTGTGTGCATAGAAAACAAAACAGATCTAGAGAAATCATAAGAGGCAGAGGCACTTACTCTGTCAACAGCTTTCTTCACAGACTCGGGATGGCTGGCAGTCACATAGGCATGCAGAGGTTCATCTTCACCTGGCAGTGGCTGACCATCCTTCCGACCTACTTTTCCTTCCTTTACAGAACCTTTGCCACGAATTATTATTTTAGCACCAGTCTCTCTCTCCATGGCTATTGTTTGTGAAAAAGGTAAGAGATTAATAATAGTATTTAGAACAGTTCAACTTAAAGTACTGACCTCTATACTCACTAATAAAAATGCTACTTACACTTCAAAGTGTTACCACGTGGTCCAATTAACAGTCCAACAAAATTAATGTCTGGATGCTCATCTTGTGGTATCATAACTTTATCACTTACTCTTACAACAGGTGGTCTTAAATCAAACACAAGAACAATAATTAACAAACTGTTAATTAAAATAATTTGCACAATGTTAGACAAGTCAAAAACTTACTTGTAGTCAGGTGGCGGTTTGAAATCTGGGTTTAAATCCATCATCTTCTGAATGAGTTGATGTCTGTCATCCTCCAGCTTTTTGCGAGTGCGGTATTCCCTGGTGTTCAATCGTTTTCCATCACTGCTGTAGATCGGCTCAGGGGATGGGGATCTGGCACAACAGAAGACTCTCCATGAAAGTAGGGGCCATGCAATATTAATATTGCATAGCAGATGGTATCCTCTTTGTCATGTGGATACAACATCAGCAGGGTGAAAGCTAAGACCATATGCTCAGACCAAGAGAAAAATATACTTTGTTCCCCTAAAATTCATTGATAAATGGGAATGTTTCAGTAGACTGAGTGTTCTAACAGAGCTTGGGCACCTTGGTAGAATTAGCAAGAGGAATTTCTCAATAATTTTGAAAAAAAGAGTAGAATGGCTTCTGTGATTTGATTTAGTCAATAACCTGAGTCAATATTTCCTTAACCATCAATTAAAATTAATAAAAACCTACTGGGGAAAAAAACAGAAATATTAATAAAAGATGATGTTGCATTATTTCAAGGTTAACAATAAAATCATTAACTGATTCATTTCATATCACAGCCATAACTGCCACCTTTCTGATGAATCCTTGAGCTAAAAGCATGTTAATGAAAATATAAAATGCAACCGATTTCAATCTTAATCATGTTACATAAACATAATGAAGGTACAGCATTCCTACATTTTCCCAGTTGTTTCATGATCGCTTGTGGAAATACTGGTGGAGCTTTCCACAGCAAATTTTGATCACCTACCTCTGTAGGAAGAGGGTCTTGCTATTTAAAAAATGAAGTGAGAAGATGAGGTTAAGTGTTTTGTGTGCACTTCATAAATTATTTACCATGGCAGAATGTGACCAACAGAAGATAGATATAAAGAAAGAGACTGTCAATATTATCCTAGGAATAAAAAAAATAAAAAAACAACCTGGAATAGTGTATTGTTTACAGCAGCATAGGCGTCTGCCATGTACTGTATGGATAGAAGTGCTGCAACATCAATTGCATGCTAGATGTTGTTCGGCAAGCGATTTGCTCTGAATAAACAGTTTGAAAAGCAACATTGAGGAGAGAAAATTACTTATTAAAAGCTGGTGACTGACGAACTTCTTTTAAATATTTCTAATTTGGTAAAAAGTGCGACGTGGAAAAAAATTAGGTACATTTTTTTAAGAGAGCCAGTACAGGCAACATGCAAACAAGCTCACATTTTGATGGCCTCCACCAAAAGGTAAATATCTTTTAAAAAATCAATAAAATTACATTTTTTTACAATATGAGGGAGAAGGGAGGAGTAACATTTGTTAGACTTGGTAGAATGTTCTTGTCATACTGATATAAGGTTTCTGGATAATGAATCTATGAAAGATGACCTGGTGTAAATGTTTCCTTAAGAGGTTGACTCTTAACTTCACTTATGGCTCAGGTGCATTATCTTCTACAAATGAGACGTTATGTGCAAAAAAGAATGAATGCTGGCTGTAAGATGATCTTAACTCCACCGGTATCGAAAGTTAAAGGAATAAAATCAGACTAACCTAATCTTCCCATCACTATCTGTCATAATTTTTGTCTATTTTCTATTTGATTGATGATAAGCCTCATATTTAGCACCCACCCTCATTAACATAACTACAAATTAAAACCTCTAAAAAGCTAAGGCTTAGAAGTTATTTAACAATATTTGTGCCAAAAATATTAAAACAGTTAATGAATCTGCCTTGACACGAAACCTGAAAATTGTTACTTAATTCTCCTAAACCTTGCGAAAAAGAGGAAAAAATATTAAATCAAGAGCAAAGTCTAAGGCAAACCAATCAGCAGGCAGAGATGCAGGGCCTGCTTTTCCTGGCTCAACACAATACTGTAGATTAGGTAGTGATAGTTTAGCACACCTTTCCTCTGGATTGGAAGCGATCCCCAGATCTCCTGTGCGCAGCTTCCGGCTAACCTCTTCAATCTGCAGTTGAACTGAAATGAAAACGGGTTAGAAAAGGGCACAGAGCCCAACAATTAGAACAGAGGACAGATTAAATAAATTGTAAATTTACAATTGTTCTTAAAGTAAGATCAAATTATAATGGTGGCAAAAGCATGAATGTATTTGCCAATATCCATTCATAATTTGAAACATACGAACCCCTCAAGCCAGAGGGGAAAAAAAAGAAAGGGGACCCACAGTTGCCGTCTTTAAGTTATCAGAATTTAGAGAGGAAAAAATGCTACACTCCTACATTTAGGAAAATCGATATTAATTTTGAAAGGAGTAATAGTTAATCAAATCATGAACATTATTACATGATGAGAAGCACTCCTGAGATGTACAGCTAGAATAAAACTGCTAGAAATATTACTTCCAGATAAGAAAAAAATTAATAGCATCTAAGAACCTGTTGAAATAATGAGTGCCACATAAGGGCTGTAATTATTATTTTCAAATTTAATTAGCAAGGTTAAACACTGTCTGAAACAATCGCAACATCATACTTTTCACAATTAATGCACTTTTCTTTTAACAGATTAAAACATCATAAATTGTAAGATAAATGGCTGCAGAGAAAAAAAGCACTTTGTTAGGTGCTGAAACAAGGGCATCAATAGGTTTTAGAAACAAAAACAAATAAAAAAAATAGTTTATAGTGAGACACAGCCAGTGGGGGGAAATAGTATTAGGTATGTTTCCTTAAAACCTGACAAGAAACAAGAGATCAACCTACCTAAATATGCTTCTTCCTGCTCTTTGCTCAAATTGGTAGGGAGCACGGTTGGCATCCCGGGGATGAATATCTTTTCTTTTTCATCTCCACCCCAACGAGACTTCCTCTTCTTTCTCCTCTCCTCCCGCGATTCAGCACCTGCAAAACACATTACACGATGTTTACTGTGTGAAAAATATTTGATGATCAAGAGAACTAACAAAATTTGACGGAACTACAGTTTGTATAAGAACATTAACGAAATATTTTCGAAGTCGGCATGCTGATGACCTTTTAACAGTAGCTTTTATGAACATGGAAATGGACTATGGCCCAGATAGGTAGACATCAAAGACATACAGGGAGAGTACAACCCATAAGAACATAACCTAACTCCCTGTCAAGAAGTTTCAGGAATCGACAGACCGAAAAGTTGCAACTGAACGAGTCGGGATCATTCTGAAACGCAGCGTGACTTCCGAAGACAAGTTTCATCGTTACTTACTCTCATTTTCTCGCTTCATGGCGACTGAGCAGGATGCGCTTGCGAAGCCGCTGTTCTTACGGAGTTGTTCGGCGAGCTTTAGAACAATCGGAAGAGTGCACTAAATGGCTTGAACCACAGAAGATATGGCGACTACAACATGTGTGCAACAAATAAAGAAATAATGCAAACGTTTGTTAAGCGAAACCGTGAATAATTTACCAAAATAATTTCGCATCTAGGAGCTTATCATCTCATCAACCATCTTCTTAAACGCAAGTTTCAAAATGGCCGACCCGATGCACACAACCGCAATCTGTCGTCGGAAACAGTTGGATTTGCTGAACTATATTCATATTCAAATACAGCTACAGTGCACCAATATGAGAATTTTAGTTCGGTATAGTTAATTTCATTCCAGCAAGAAAAAAGAGCACATTATACCAATCTGTTCGTCTCAAATGTGGAAAGAGCGTCGAAATTCCACAAGGAGGGCGTAAATCTTTCAGAGTGACCAAAAAATGGAAATGGCAAACATTCGGCGAAACGTGAAAAGGGGGGCAAAAAAAAGGTGGCGCTAAAGAAGACGCAGATAGGTGGGAGGGAAGGACAACCGTCAGAGGAAGGAAGAGAAAAAGAGAGCGGGAGAAGCAGCAGTCATGGTATCGGAAAACAATATTTCCACGTTGTAATATCGTTTGAACGCAACTGGCTATTTTCTACTGAGAGATAGCGACGCGCGCATTACCGTAAATCAGCATCAGTCTCTCTCCATCCTCTGCCCTCCACCTCTCCGCCCTCCTTCTCTCTCTCTCTCTCTCTCTCTCTCTCTCTCTCTCTCTCTCTCTCTCTCTCTCTCTCTCTCTCTCTCTCTCTCTATAAATCCTGTTAAAAACTAAAAACTCTCTCTCTCTCTCTCTCTCTCCACGGAAGGGACGGGCGGGAGGAGAGAGCCAGGAAGAGAGGATCAATGATGGGACGAGAGAGAAGACGTCCCAAGAACGAGGAATAAACAGGGCACCGCCGCAAACTCACAAGATGAACTCATTAAAAAACGACAGTGCTTCAATCGTTGAGGAAACAGGAATAGAGAATCCGTTCCAAGGCGGCGGGAAGGGGTGCCCACGTTAGAATGCAAATGTAATATAAAATGGAGAGAACAAAGGCCTTCGCAATTGTGTTACTTCTATTGTGGTTTTTATTGCGCTTTCTGGTGCTATGGCCACTGCCACAAATCACACGTCGGTGAGATGAAACGAAAAAGTTTAGCGGGCGCCACGCTACACCGGTAAGGAACCGGGCCAGCGCGCTTGGGTCTAAGCCTAACCATGCCAGGGTAGGCCACCAGCGCACAGCAATGCGTAGGCTTTGCCTACCCTGCTCGGCCACGGGAGTAGGCAACATTCCGAGGGGTTACCCACTCCGGGAATCGTGTGTTCACTCAGTCTGGGAATCGTTCGTAATTTGCTCAAAATTTTATCGAAAATGTTAAAAGTTTCAATGGAGAGGGATATGTAATAGACACAAAACACTCAATAGCTAAGAAAAATCTTCAAAAACCTCTCCTTTTATGCAAGATTTGTTCAGGAATCGCGGGAATCCGGAATCGTGTGTACGCCCAAGTACCGAGTGGGTAACCCCTCGCAACATTCCCACGATGCACGAAAGGGTTGCCGACATCGGGGCTCTGCTCTTCTGGCAGACAGGCTGTGGGCAACCCTTTCCAATACGGTTGTTGAATTATGTTTGCCTATTTTGGCTACACAGGCCGCTGCGGGACGCGAGCTCTGAATCAAGGAGTTCGGTCGCAGGCGAGTCGCAGGGAAGAAAGAATGTCGACCGGTTGGCCTGCTTGCCAGGCCGCTCAGTCACTGCACAAACTCTGTGCGCTGCTTTATTTAGATAATGCTCAGTTGGGACTGTGCGCGGGAGGGGCGGGGGAAAGGGGGTCGTAAGTCGTGGAAGTGGGACAAAAACCGAAGGAAAGCAGAGTAGGAAGGTGGGAGGGAGAGAGACAGTAGACACATCTCCACTCTCCGAGTCGTATAACTTTAAAATGAATGACCAAAGTTTTCCTCTACTGAAAATGAGGTGATATTTCACACGTTAGCGCTGGAGGGAGGTGAATGTGTGCGTTGCCGCGTCGCCAGTCGGTGGCTTAGAGTGGGAGGGGAGGACGGGCAGGTGGGAAGACGTGTGTGAGGTTTCTCTGGCAGCACGATGGAGCCATTCGGCAAAGCGAGGGCTCACAGTGTGGAGGCAGGGTGGAAGAACGGCGAAATTGGGGTCAGTCAGTGAAGATACACGGACCAAGTCATAGCAGGCGACAGGTCAGGGGTGGGAGAGTTCCGCGAAGCAACTACCCCCACCCCACCCCCGCAGCGCCTGGCTGCTCGCGAGCTACTCCATTTCCCAACAGAATCCTGAAAGGCGCGCCCAACGGTTCGGGAGAAACTTACTACCCGTTTGCAGGTAGCATAGGTGACCCGTTTTCCTGCCCCACGACGACAGAAGGGTATCTGGGTCGCCACGGGGGATGGGGACGGGGCGATGGCGGGGGGATGGCGGCGAAGGCGTTTCCAAGTAATGCGATATCGACGCCACATTGGCGGGTGTTGGCGGCGTGTTGGCGGCGTGGGCAACCATGGGCAACTAGCCGCGACGGGCTCTCCATTACGCCAGCGGCTGCCAGCGGCCGTGTCTCGCCTGTCTCATTCCAACCAATCGCGCCTTCCATTTTGACCGAAAACATAGGCAAAGCGGCAACAACGTGGAACGTCGTGCCTCGAACTCCCGATATTCCATATTGGGAGTATTTGCTGCATCGTGCCGAGTGGCGTGGTTACACCTATAGGTTAGGCTCGAACCCACTCCCCGCGCATTCAACATTCACTGCTCACTAACCACTCAAGCGACTTGGCCGTCTTGTTCCCCGAGAGTGTCAACACGACAACACACAGCGGGGCTGACCTGTCTAGTTGGCGGCGCCACGCTCGATCTGCGACATATCTCGTTACACCGTACCTCGTGCCCCGAAGTGTGGGGGCGTCTTGGTCTTGTGTTTCCACCCACTGTGAGAAAAAAGTACGGAACATGTCTGGTCAATAATTTGCCTGGACCGTCCGTACTTGCCAACTACGGAACGTTCCGTACCTTTTTTCCGTACCCATTTACATGGGTTCATGGAGCAAGTACGGAACGTTCCGTACTTTTCTCCGTACCTCCGTACTATATTTTTCTATACCATTTCCGTACAAAAGTACGGAATTTTATACAGTGCCGTTGTGTTTTCCACGGTTTTCCACGTTGACGCGGTCGCGCTGTCTTCTACGCCACCCACAACAAGTGTAGTGCCATCCTGGCGCGGCGGCCAGTGGAGGCTTGGACTCCCGTGGTATGACAAACCCAAGCATATCCCAAAAAAAGAAACTATCGATGCTGCCTCGACTGCTTCTTCCGATGCTTCGGCAGCTGTCGGCTGCTTTCGGCAGCATCTTCGGCTGCTTTCAAATCGGTTGCTTCGGCTGCACGGGAGGGCTACTAAAGGCGAACTGGTGGGATAGGAGAGTCGAGTTTGGTGGCCAACTTGGAAAGGGAGTTGGGTTTGATATTGAAGCTGCCTAGCTGGGCCGCGGCGCGGCATGGCAGCCCGTGGCAGCCCGTGGCAGGCAGGGCTCTCTGCGTTTCAAAGTTTTAAACGTATTTGACGAGAGTTTCTGGCAGGGAGCGAAGCGGGAGAAGAAGAGAAAGATGGAACAGGAGGGAATGTAGGGAGAGGGAGAGAATGAGCGAGCTATTCTATGCTAGGCTTCTTTAGAAAGAGCTGTGCAGGTTTTAACTCGCTTGTACACAGTGAAACGTGGGACGTTCTCACGTCATGTCTAGAAATGACACTGAAGCGAGCGCTATACCCCTGACAAACTGAGGGCCAGGTCAACTCGGGGGTAACTCGGGGGTAACTCAGGGGTAACTCGGGGGTAACTCGGGGGTAACTCAAGGGGAAGTCGGGGGGAAGTCGGGGGGAACTCGGGGGGAAGTCGGGGGGAACTCGGGGGGAAGTCGGGGGGAACTCGGGGGGAACTCAGGGGCAAGTCGGGGGGAACTCGGGGGGAACTCGGGGGGAACTCGGGGGGAACTCGGGGGCAAGTCGGGGGGAACTCAGGGGTAACTCGGGGGCAAGTCGGGGGGAACTTGATCGACTCACCCAAACACTAGAAATACGCTCCAAACTAGCACCGTTGCCTTTGTCTCGTTGCCCCGATTCTAAAAGTGCCCCTACTTGCCCCTCTAGCTCAGCGGTTCCCAACCTTGGCGTCGCGACCCCAAATGGGGTCGCGAAAAAATTTTGAGGGGTCGCGGCGAGGTGGCTGGGGTCGCCTGGGGTCGCGGTGGTTTCCCGGCTGGCCCACACGCCGAGCACTGGCTGCTTAAATGCCGCAAAGTTGATCAAAACGGTCACAAATGTGTGTAAAAGATCGTGTTTTGGGTCGACTTTAAGCATCCACTGCTTCTGATCCGAGGCGGTAAATCGCCCTCCCTCAACGGGCAATTGGTCTTTGGACCTTCCTTTTGCATGCCTTTGTTACGGAGTGCAATTATCTGCCTCAGTTTGGAAGCAGTACTGCCGCAAAGTTGGTCTAAACAGTCACAAATGTCTGTGAAAAATCGTGTTGTGGGCCGACTTCAAGCATCCACTGCGTCTGATCCGAGGCGGTAAATCGTCCTCCGTCAACGGGCAATTGGTCTTTAGACCTTTCTTTAGCATGCCTTTGTTACGGAGTGCGATTATCTGCCTTAGTTTGGGAGCAGTTTTGCCGCAAAGTTGATCAAAACGGTCACAAATGTCTGAAAAATCGTGTTTTGATCAACTTTGTGGCAAAACTGCTCCCAAACTAAGGCAAATAATCGCACTCCGTAACAAAGGCATGCTAAAGGAAGGTCTAAAGACCAATTGCCCGTTGACGGAGGACGATTTACCGCCTCGGATCAGACGCAGTGGATGCTTAAAGTCGGCCCAAAACACGATTTTTCAGACATTTGTGACCGTTTTGATCAACTTTGCGGCAAAACTGCTCCCAAACTAAGGCAGATAATCGCACTCCGTAACAAAGGCATGCAAAAGGAAGGTCCAAAGACCAATTGCCCGTTGAGGGAGGGCGATTTACCGCCTCGGATCAGAAGCAGTGGATGCTTAAAGTCGACCCAAAACACGATCTTTTACACACATTTGTGACCGTTTTGATCAACTTTGCGGCATTTAAGCAGCCAGTGCTCGGCGTGTGGGCCAGCCGGGAAACCACCGCGACCCCAGGCGACCCCAGC